CGTAATGAGGCGAAATCCAGGCTAACGTTAAGAGTACCCATGAATTATTACCTGAAGAGAGAGAGAGAGAGAGAGAGAGAGAGGGAGAGAGAGACGCCATGGTGGTAGGTTTGAAGGTCACCTCGACCCATTTTCTTTTTCATTCACCTCAAGATACTTTTTATTACTTACACCAGAGCTGCCTGTCAGTAATAGTTAAGTGTTGCATTATATAACAGGTGATTTATATTCAGAATACACAAACAGGACAAGATAAGTCTAGTTCCATTTATCTCTTTGGGGGAGGGTAAAAATATACAGGGTGGTGCATAAGTCGCTTCATAAATACAATGTTCTCGGTGAAGTGACTTATACACCACCCTGTAGTATAAGTAATGGACTTGGGATCTGGAGGCGTCGTTTAGAAAAAAAATAATTAGAACACTCCTTTAAATATGATTATCTTCAGTAACTTATCTTAATAATAGAGAAAATTGTGGGAGTCAACCTACAGTATGTAAATACCGTAGCCAGTGGACGTGTAACAACAACAACAACAACAACAACAACAACAACAACAACAACAACAATAACAATAATAACAATAATAATAATAATAACAATAATAACAATAATAACAATAATAATAATAATAATAATAATAATAATAATAATAATAATAATAATAATAAACGGTTCATTGAGAGAGCATATCAGCCAGAAGGCTGAAAATATACAGTTGCATAATTGGGGAATGGGTTTCGATTTACAAATAATATACAAGTAACATAAGTAAGTGTGTGTGTGTGTGTGTGTGTGTGTGTGTGTGTGTGTGTTTGCGGTGCCCAAATATCACATTATTTCCGTGTGTGGTGTGTTCCCCGTGTTATAAACTAGTGTTCTCACCCCAGTGTGCCAGTGTTTACATGACGCACACATCAAAGCGCCAATATTCAGCTTGTTAATACTGTAAATACAACTCATAAACTGCGTCAATATTAAACCCGAGCTGTCACAACCTACACCACCATGACGGAAGTTTCCGAAACGTGAGTGTTCGTGTATCGACTGGATTAAACCTGGATTTTGTCGCCAGAGTTTTTAAAAAGGAGAAGAAGTATGACGTCATTCGCGTCCCTTGACATATACGGACGCATTCCACGCCTCTTTTTGGTGTGTTTATGGACGTGGCAGGTGTTAAATAGGTGAATGGGATATATAGACTATTACATTCACCGAGCAGGCATGTTTTTCGTTCTAGATTAAAGCATTTGAGATTAAAACAAACTACAGAGATGCTGGTAAAGATATGGTTTAGGTGTGTGTGTGTGTGTGTGTGTGTGTGTGTGTGTGTGTGTAAATATACATGCATTTGTTTATGTAATTATTTATCAATGTATTTAAGCGAACACCGGTGCATTACGAGTTATATTTTGATGTAGAAATTCGTATAAATACAGCACTACTCATAGATGTACAAACAAAGGGATTTCTATATAATCCTGCCTTTTACACACACACACACACACACACACACACACACAGTGAAGGTGAATTTCCGTGTTAAACCAAAAGTGAGGCAAATCTCCAAGCGAGTTCATCACTCCTACACACACACACACACACACGTCCTTCTCCCCTCTCTCCCTCTAGCTTCCTACTCCCCGTCTAGTCCCCTACTCCTTCCCTCTAGCTCCTTCTAGCTCCCTATCTCTCCCTCCCTCTCATTAGCTCCAAACTCTCCCTCCCTCTCCCCCTACTCTCTTTCTCTCTCCCTAGTCCATGCCTCCATACCCCATTTCCAGTCGGTTTCCCGGTGTGTGTGTGTGTGTGTGCTAAGTCCTGTTGACCTCTACGCCCACCTACCCCCATTTCCTTGTTCTGTTTTGCCTTCCTCTTCCTGTCATATCTTCTCTCTCTCTCTCTCTCTCTCTATCTCCTTTGCACCCTTTCTTTACAACTCCAATCTCTCTTTTCTCTGATTCAGTCCCTCTTTGTCTCTCACTAACTTGTCTCACACTCTTTGTTTTACTCTATTGTCTCATTCTCACTCACTCTCTTTGTCTCTCCAATCTCTCTTTTCTCTGATTCAGTCCCTCTTTGTCTCTCACTAACTTGTCTCACACTCTTTGTTTTACTCTATTGTCTCATTCTCACTCACTCTCTTTGTCTCTCTCTCTTACTCTCTTTGTCTCTCTCGCCATATCTTGTCTATGTTTTTCTTTCACATTCTCTCAATATATCACCTTTTCCCTATCTCTTCTCACCCTTTATTTCTCTCTCTCCCTCCTTTCGAAAAATTCTCTCTCTCTCTCTCTCTCTCTCTCTCTCTCTCTCCTCCATTCTCAAACCCTATCCTCATTTCTGTCTCTTATTTCAGCTTTTTATCAACTCTTTTTATCGGTTTTTTTTTTACATGTGGTATATTATTGCCACCAAAAAATAATGTCTTGAAATACTCTTCACACGTCTCAGGTTTTTGCTCAACACAACAATAAAATAGTTTGTTTACATTTTTGACGATCGATTCTACTATGTTTTTTTTCCCTTAATGTTTCGTCTCTTGACACATATCATGTTTACCTCCAGCCGAGTCTGTCATCTCCCCCACCTCACCTCGACGTTCGTTTTCTTTCTGGTTTTTTTTCCTACCCCATTTTCGTTCTGTTTACATGTTAGTAAATATTTTCCACCGCTGTCTGTCTTAACATCATATTTATTATAGTTTCCAATTTCTTTGGTTTATACGTGTTATTACCGTTAGTTTTTGTCGATATATGTTTAGGTATGTCATGGTAATACATTGATAAACACTGCATATTAAACTTATTATTAATACAGTACTTATTATTCTTATCATACACTATTATTATTATTATTATTATTATTATTATTATTATACGCTGTTCATGGTCTCAGCAAGCTTTTAAGAACACTTGCAGTTTGTTAGGGAGAAATTGGCAGTTTGAGTCATATTTTCGTTTGTAGTTTTGGCTCTTCTTGATAAGTATATTAATTCCGTTTATACTTATGCATGAAATTTCCTGTTGTTGACGCGTTACCAAAGTGATGGTTTGTTATATAGGGCAGATTACGATGGTTAACTTCCGTCGCTCACGCTTTCTCTATTTTATAATCGTTTTCATCAGCTTATAAAAGTTTTTTTTTTGAGTTTATAAATGTTTTTCAGCTAAAAACGTCTTTCTTCAACTTATAAATGTTGCTTTAGCTTATAAAGGTTTTTCTTCACCTAATAAACGTTTTTTTCTTCAGCTAAGAAGAGTTTTTACTTCAGCTAGTAAATGTTTGTTCTTCAGCTAATAAGCGTTTTCTTCAACTTATAAACGATTTTACGTTAGGTAGTAAAAGTGTTTTCTTCAGCAAGCAAACGTTTTCTCTTATAATTTTTGTTCAGTAATTAATGACTTTCTGCATTTTTTAAACGTTTCCTATACAGTATTTATAAAGTGTGTTCTATAGTTCACAAACGTTTCTTTTATACCGTAAACGATTTCTGTAGATCGTTAACGTTTTCATTGAATTGAAAACATTTTCTATGGACGGGTTTGTTCTCGTTTTCTTTGAGTTTCCGTTAACAAATTTCCTTTAGTCACTCTTACATATTATCTAAGCTTATTCTTTCCTTCTATACAGTATGATCGAAGTTAATTTCCAATATCATCTTCTTTAATCTATCTGCCCCTTTACATACTTTTTAATTTATTCATGTACTAGTAAGTTTATTCTCTCATACATAACATGAGATTTCTTTCATATTTTGCCTTAGAAAAATTATTGTATTTTTTATATAAATTCGAATTTATTTGATGTACTGTTTTAGGTGTACTGGCTACTGTATCCCAGGGCTATAATGGATGTATAGATGTTTATTTTTGTTGTTGTTGTTGTGTTTCCTTAATTCATCTATTTTATAGTTTATGCAAATCTAAATATTTTTTTTTCACGAATCAAAAATATTTTATAATTATCCTTTATTGTATTTAGTTCTTGTGCAATTTGTTTAACATAATATTATAAGCTATTATTTTTAAGAGGTGAATGAGCTATTTCTAAGATATACGTCGTCTATTTTCTAAAGACTTACGTGAGCTATTTTTTACGAGTTACATGAACTATTCATTTAGATTTACATTAGGTATTTTTAAAGACTTATCTGCGTTATTAACTAAGAAGTACACGAGCTATTTGTTTATAAATCTTACAGGAGCTATTTTTTTTCCTCAAAGAGTAAGTAAATGGGAAGTGTCTCAGCTGTCGAACATAAACATCTGTGTCACGCTGGAAATATTGTCAGTTCTGAAGTTTTAGCTGTTTATAATTCTCCTCTCAGTGGATTATCATCATCAGCCTCGCTCCATTACCTAATCCTTCCCATCTCATTTATTTATCCTTAAGGACATGATTCTATTTTACCTTTATCCTTGATTCCTTACTCATCTGTGGGATTTATTTTTTTATATATCTTTTTTTATTGTTTTCTGATTGTTTGTTGTTCCATTTTTAGCATACTTAACACCTTCCCTATTTAGCAGGTGTGGCCCATCCCTCTCTCCCCTACGTGCAAGCAGCTGAGAGGAAAAAACTCCCCCACCTCCCTCCCTTCAACTTTTTTCACCACGCTGAGTAGCTTTCTCAATATCTCGCTCCTCATTACTCATCCCACCCTCAGGCCTCCCTCGGGGTCTTCCCTCACCTATTGAAGTGTACTCTGGACTGTCATCACCTACGGGATATAAATAATAACTCGTGTTTATAACCCCTTTCCGTCTTCAGGAGTTGGACAAGCTCCTCTCCATCTTTGTCATAGTCGAGAAATTATTGACGGTGGCCAATGTCGGTGAACGAAGTGTAACGGATCTTTCCTCCCTTTCTCCCCTCCCCCTTCGCTCCTCCGTCCCCCCCTACCTCCCTCCCTCCCTCTCTACCCCGCGATGGGCTGCTCTGCAATGCCCTAGAATGATGTGGCTTAAAGTTCACAAATACCCGAAGGTCCGGAGAGCGGTGTATAAACTGGCGGCGTGGCACCAGACTCGCCCTGCCAGTGCCTCACAACACCTGGAGGAGGGAGGAACAACCCCCAGTCCTACCTGATATACCTGTAGTGCCCCTACTCGTCGCCTCCCGGAGCTCACTCAACCCCCACCCCTAACCTCCTCCACCTCGACCAACCCCCTCAACCCTACACCACACCACCGCCACCATGGTAAGTCTTCGCTACTCTCTCTCTCTCTCTCTCTCTCTCCTACCACCACCACTACTACAATCTTCCATCACTAGGACGACGGGATAAAATTAAATTGACGATAGAATGGAATTGATGTTAAGTCATTATACTCGAGCAATAAATTGTTAGCAAGAATTTATAGGCTGAGGGACACTATTTCTGCCAATACGTATAATAGTGAGAGAGAAATAGTAGACTGGCTTTGATGACAGTATATACACTCGTGGGGTGAATCAATAACCTATAGACTGAGCTCGTGGGACTGTCCCTCCTGTACAGAGTGAAGGTAGAGGGAGGACAGACACACAAACTCAATTTAAACATTATATACATCATAGAATTAACTTGTGTGCTGAAGGCAACTAGATGTGTTGTCAGGAAACACGTGTCACTGTCAGGAAACACGTGTCACTGTCAGGAAACACGTGTCACTGTCAGGAAACACGTGTCACTGTCAGTAAATACTTGTGTCACTGTCAGGAAATACTTGTGTCACTGTCAGGAAACACGTGTCACTGTCAGGAAATACTTGTGTCACTGTCAGGAAATACTTGTCACTGTCAGGAAACACGTGTCACAGTCAGGAAACACTCGTGTCACTGTCAAGAAAATACTGTATGTGTGTGTGTGTGTTTGTTTATGTGTGTATGTGTAAGTGATTGTGCAAGTTTTTTTGTATGTGTGTATATTTCACGTAAAAACTGTACACAATAATAGGCACGTCAACCTAAGTATGTGACAGGCTGGTTTAGGAGTGAACATTGACAGTGAAGACAGAGTGAAGTAGTTGTTGTTGCGAGAGGGAGGACCAATATGGCGGGGAGGTCAGCTGGCTTCATTGTGGCAGCCCAAAATAATGGAAAATCTTTTGTTGTGAACGACAATGGCAAGCCAAGAAAAAACAGTCAGTCAATCCGTTTCTTTGTCTGTCTCTCTTGTTGGACTTCTTACTGAGGTAGAGTGTGTCGGTATATTTTCACTGTCAGATTAACACTGTCACTATCACACCAGCCATCTGTCACTATCAGAACCATATATCGTTTATCATGACTCGCCTGTAGCCACTATCAGATTAACTCTACATCACTGTCAGGTCAGTTTTTCTTTACAATCCAATCAGCACTTTGTTCTCATCAAGTCAAATGACCCAGCAACTTGTCACCAGTAGTGTGTGAGTGTGTCTGGCACTGTCAAGTTATCCAGCCAATCTTACTGTCAGATTACCAGTGACCCTAGACACAAGCTCTCTTCTAGTGTCTATCAGTCTGTCTGTCTGTTTTGCCCTGACAACATTACAAGACGGAGAGAGGAACAACACAGATTCAGTAAAGTGATTATAAACAGAGGCAGACTGCTTGTGTTAATTCTGACACCCTGAGAGACTGAGTAGGGGGATCACCTGAAGATTAGCCACCCAAACTTATTTCACCTGATGATTAAACCCAGCCTAATTCTACCTGGGAGGTGTTGGTTAGGGTAGATTAGCTTAGCTTAGTTCAGGTTAAGTTAGATTAGGTTAGGTTTTGTTATGTAAGATTAAAGTCATTGAGGGTAGGTTAGGTTAGCTCTTGTTATGTTAGGTTAGGGTTAGTTAGGTAATGTGAGCGCTGTTAATATTAAGGTAAAATAATCTTTAGATCATTCGAGGAGGGAGTGACTCAAAGGTGATAATAGCAAATGAGATAACAAAACAGGAGAGAGAAAAGGGACATTTTAATGACAAGACAGAATAGAGGAATAAGACAGAAAAAAACGAATAATTTAAAACACAACACAAGACAGAAATAACAACACAACAATGATAACACACCACAAAAGTTATCTTATTACATCACCAGTCACAGAGGCTGATAACACGGAAGTAATCAAAGCAAAGTTCCTTATCATAATAAGATAACAGTACGACTCTGGACGTGGTAAATAAAATAAAATTACCTTTTTAAATTACAACAGGAAACTCATCAATAATTACCATGATATAAACTATTGGTTCTCAGATCGACGGGATAATTCACCCTAAAACCACCAACAATGTGCATGATTAAGTTAATTAGTCTATGAGAGAAGTTAAAGCTATCTCGAGAGGTCAACACCAGCATGTAAATAACACAGATTTTTTTTTGTTTCTCATAAATACAGGGTGTCTCAAAAAATTTATACACAATGCCTTTAAAGACTTCGGTGGTGATCACGTGAATGTTCGTATTACAACACCAACATTATCCTCACTTGTTGATGTGTGAGGTCTCCCACAAGTGAGGACAATGTTGTTCTTATAATACAAGTATTTACGTGATGCCCACGACAATCTTTAAGGCAGTGTGTATATATTGCTCTGAAACACCTTGTACATTAGATCAAAAGTGTAATAGTATATGTCCTAACACGAGACACAGCTGACACGTGTTCTAAATTACGAACAAATCTTAACTACGACACTTTCTTGACTTTCTTTTTTCAATTAATTATTTTATTTATTTATATTCTTAAGAATTTAATAGTTAATTAATGCTAGTTACTTTACCATCATCATCAGGTAGAGCACTAGTTAGTACCATAGAGTAATGTTCTTAAATCTCTTAGTGATAGTCCCTGAGGCCTAGTTACTATCTGATGGACCTGGGACTCATATACAGGGTCATCTAAAAAGACTGCCAAGAACTTCACTACAAAACTATTTCATTCCTGGGTATTCTTTTCCGGTGACTCTGTATATTTGTTCCTAACGTTTATATTTTACTTTAAAATTTTCTGTTACAATAATTAAATTAAATTAATAATCCTAAAGAGATTATTTATATTTTAGTATGTTAGCTCATGTTTTAATATATAAAACCAAAAACCACCAAAATGAAATACATAAACCAGATCCATGAAGGATGAAAGTGACACTAGCGAGCAGCAACACCCGGGGCACAGGGAACTGCTCCACGGACACACTATTTCATTTTGACTTGTGTTCCCTCTCTTTTTCTAGCCTGGACCAGTAAGTGACCCCTACATGGGTTGTGGCCCTTCATGACATGGGTTGACACTGGGGGCCCCTAGACGAGGAGAGCCCCCGAACAGCGGCAGGGAGGGCACAGAGCACCACCTGTGGTAACAATGGTCTGGTCCTACTTGTCCCTCCTCCTCTGTCTTCCTTATTCCCTCTGTCATCTGGGACACGTTCACACCCAACGTGTCCTCACTCTCTAGACATTTCCTGTGTGGTGTCCTTTAATGCCTCGCTGACAAGTGGAAGGAGAGAGGGAGGGAGAGGATCCAGAAAAAAAAATCAAGTTTATTGTAGCATAATGTCGAAGTGTTAAGAACTGTGATGGCGTGTTCAAAGAGTCGAGATTAACAAAGAAGTGATGTTTGAATTGTTTCTTGGTGAGGATGGTGAGGTAAAGACGTCATATATGGTAAGAGTACGGTCACTCACAGCGAGGCTGGTGAGGTAAGTTATAACTCGATGTGAATTGGTGACCTAACACTTATAGTCACGAGCAGCAAAGCAACGATAGAGACTAAGATACTCTAGAAAAGTCATTTACAATTAAGTTATTTCTCTAGTTACCAAGTGCCTTAATAAACCCTTGGATATCTTAATACAAACTACAAGAATGAAATAACAGTGATATTAAGTTCAGGTGTTTATACTGCTAGCAGGTGAGAGGAAAGATCATGCTTCCGGCTACCCCGAGACATTGAGTTTACCAGTGACAGAAAACATTACAGTAGATATCTTTCAGTCATCAGAAAAAATATATATAACTATGAATTAACCAGATTAGTAAATTAAATGTTATATTCTTGTCTTACACTAAGAAAATATTTGATTGTTTGTCTATTCGATATAGCAAACGAATTAACTAATAAAGTGGTCATTAGGTTTGATATCAAAACTGATTATATCCAAACTATGATATCCAATAGATTTTGCTTCGATATCACATAATGACTAAGAGATGTTTAGTGCTCAGACGACGACCACAAGACATTCAGAAACACCCAACACTGGCACCTGGCAGCTCCGGCCTATCATTGGTCCAGCGAGTTTTTTAACGATTACACCAACTTAATATTTATGCCATCACTTTCGACAATTTCCAATCCGCAATTTGTAATAATCTGAAATGGGTGATAATTTGAAATGGGTGATAATTTGAAATTTATGACAATTTACATATTGTAATTATGTAAAATATATATTCAATTATAATTCACATTCCATAAACCATAATAATAATATAAATAAATAAAAACAAATGTTAGATTCTCAATTTTTAAAAATATACTCAATACAAATTCTTATAACCTTACGATGTAATTAAAATGTAATTATGATTTCAATTACGTTAGATACTAAAGGTGATTACATTAAGGTTATTAGTTAATACTGTAATAATGTAATTAATTTAGGCTAAAGTCTCTTAATTAACCCAGTGGCTCCTTGATCATGTTTTCGTGGCTTCCTGACCTCTTGACTTCTGACCTAGTGCTTTCCTGACCTCATGACCTTTGACCCAGTGCTTTCCTGTCCTCATGACCTCGGCCTCAGTGCTTCTTGACCTCGTGACCTCTGCCTAAGTGCTTCCTGATCTCGGAACCTCTGCCTCAGTGCTTCCTGACCTCGTGACCTGTGATTCAGTGCTTCCTGACCCATCATCTTACAGAAGCTTAGAATCTTCCCATTAGTTTAAAGAAGCTTAGAACCTCTTCCCTATTAACTTAGAGCAGCTTAGAACCTTCGTACCTTAGAGCAGCTTAGAATATCAACTTTAAAGGCTTTAGAAACCCCCTTAAAACCCTAGAGTCAAATAGACCCCTCTCTCTCCCTTTCTACCATCCAGAACCTCAAACCCTCTCGTCTCACAGAACCCCTAGAACCTTCTCCAATACCTTAAAACGCAATTGAACCCTCTATAACCCTCAAAGACCCCGGGAAAAGTCACTGACCAACCTTGACCAAGAACGACCTCAAAACAGAACCTTCAGAACGCTATAGAACTCACTGCAGAACCTCTCGAGTTCAGTTAAGACACTGTAAGATAAACTTTAGAACCCCAGTAGAAGTTAAACCGCAGTAGATCCTGAACCCCTAATAGACCTCAAGCCCCAGTAGAACATGAACCTCAGTAGAGTCTAAACCCTAGTACTCTGAGCACCAAATAGAACCTTTACCCCAAAAGAATCTTAACCAAAATAGAACCTTCACCTCAATAGAATCTTAACCATAATAAAACCTCCACCCTTTAAGAGAACCTTCACCCCAAATAGAACCTACACCCCAAATAGAACCTACACCCCAAATGGAACCTCCACCCCAATAGATCTTCCACCCCAAATAGAACCTACACCCCAATTGAACTTAAACCCCCAATAGAACCCCCAATCACAATAGAACCTTCAACCCCTAATAGAACCTCCAATCCCAATAGAATCTTCATCCCAAATAGAACCTCCACCCAAATTTTTTTACCCATAATAGAACCTTCATGTCTAATAGAACCTCCACCTCTAATGGAATCTCCACTTCTAATAGAGCCTTAATCACAATAGAACCTCTACCCCTAATAAAAAATATACACCCCAATAGAACCTCCACCCAAATAGAACCTACACCCCAACAGAACTTTCACCCCTAACAACTTTAACCGCAAGAACCTTAACCATAATAGAACCTCCACCTCTAATAGACCCTAAACTTTAATAGAACCAGAACCTCTACTCCTAATAGAACTCAAGCCTCAATAGAACCTAACACATAAAAGAACCTCCTCCTCTAATAGAACCAGAACCCTCACCAGTATAAGTGATAATGAACGTTCAATGTTTTTGTCCCTACAGACTGAAGAACTTGACGAGGAGAAGATGGCAAGTAAGTGTCGCTAGAACCTGTTATCTTAACTGGTAATAGTTATCTTAATAATCTATCTTGAGTTATCTTGGCTGTCTATCTTAGTTACAACATTACTTATAACAATATGACACCCTTGACATTACGATAATACTCAATATGGCAACAATAACACTATGGCAACACGATCAAAACGGCAAAATATATTTATCTCGACCAATGGCAATATGGCAATACCCTCAACATATCAACAACACGATAAATTAATAAATAAACAAAAGATGGAGAATAGCAATGAAAACAAAAGCTAACGTAATAAATAATCATAAGACAAGAGACACAAAAACAAAAGATAAGACAATAGACAAAAACAAAAGATAAAACAATAGACAAAAACAAAAGATAAGACAATAGACAAAAACAAAAGATAAAACAATAGACAATAGACAAAAAACAAAAGAGAAGAAACTAGACGTAAAAACAAAAGAGAAGAAACTAGACGTAAAAACAAAAGAGAAGAAACTAGACGTAAAAACAAAAGAGAAGAAACTAGACGTAAAAAGAAAAGAAAAAAGAAACTAGACGTAAAAACAAAAGACAAAACAATACACAAAAAAACAAAAGCGTGCCACTCTACAATTTCTACCCCAAACAAAGTCGTCCTTCCTTGCCTTTGCCACCAAGTTAAATAGCATGATAATCGAATCGGTAATTATAAAGAAGCTTGAAGGAGAACAAACGACTCTGTCCCTTTTGTGTGGTTATGAGGCGAGACGTGACGACCATAATCACGACTACAACTACGGCTATAACCACAACCATGACCACGACCACAAATATGACCACAACCACGACCATAATAATGACTATAACCACGACCACAACACCCACAATCAGGACCATAACCACGACAACCCACAACCACAACAACAACAACGACCATTGACCTGTGGTATGGATGATGACGTCACTATTTGCATCCTTGGAGATGACGTCACTATTAATTATGACGTCACTATCGCTGTGTTATTGAGGAATGTGATAAGCTGCTCAGTGTATCATAGTCGAGAATGAATTACGTCATATCAAGGCAAATATACATGTGTAGTCCCTAATGTTTTATTAACCAAAAGAAATATTAGAAACATCCTTGTAAGTACCACTGGCCCGTAGCGTTACTAGCTGGCTGTCAGTCAGTCAGTCAGTTAGAGGCACGAGTGTTCCTATTGGACATTTTAAGACATAGCTTCAGAGTATAAGGAAGAATGGGGTGTTTAATGGCCAGACAGACGAACGCCTGACGAGAATATCTAGTTTTATGTTGAAATACCCAAGAAATAATTGATTTACTGAATGACATATACACATTGGGTCATCGAAAAAGATTACCCGAATTTTAAAAGTTTTTCTATTAAAATGTGGCCATTTTTCCCCCTATGTCTCTGTACACAGTATAACAAAAAAAAGAACATTCACGACAGTAAGGTATTATCAAGGTGAGCTAAAGGTCCATCACATAAAAACAAAAATCATCTTCCCAATCAACCGTTTTACGTCCAGAATGCGTCATTTTAGATTAGATGAGGCCATTCCGGGAGTCACAGAGGTCATTCCAGGGGGTAACAGAGGTCATTCCGGCGGTCACAGAGGTCATTCTATTCATAGAGAAAGCGGCACTTCTAGTCGGCACTGGCGGCTAAAGGTCACAGAGGGTCAATGGAAGAATAAAATACGTAAAAGTGTGGACCTTGACGCGAGTTCACTCAGTGCGGTATTTACAAAGGTTCCCAACTTAATCTTCTTTCCAATTGGTGATGTTAAAAAACGCATTTAACAGACCCACGAAAACCAAGAGACGAAGATAAAAGCGAAAACTGGAGAGAGAGAGAGAGAGAGAGAGAGAGAGAGGTCAGGCTTGCAGTGCCTCCTCAGTCCCCGTTCACAGAAAATGTTAAGAAAAAAACGACTTGAAGGATAACTCGTGTATTTTATGTGATGGGGGACGAGTTAAGAGCTTCACTGGGCAGACTGGAAGAGAGAATTTAAACAAGTGATACGACTGCTGCATGTGTGGGGAGATAGAGAGGGGAAGAGAGATACTGATAAAAGAGGAAAAGGAATAAAGGAGAAAGAGTGGGAGAGAAGGAGAAAAGGTGAATAATAAGGATAGAGGAGTTGTCAGTAGCAGAAAGGAACAGCTGGAGGTGTGTGTGTGTGTGTGTGTGTGTGTGTTTTCACTATCAACATACACCACCCACATAATTAATCATATTTCTATTAAATTCTTCTTTTGTTCTAGTCTAAAATTTTGCTTTTCTTTTTTTAATATAAATTTATATTTATTTTATAATTTGCATATATGTAGCAGCAGCTTCCATGATATAATAATTTCTTCATTGGTCGTGTTGCCGTTACATGATTTTATATGTACACACACACGCTGATACAGACACAACCACACATTGATAACTAATCTCCCACCACACGAATACATTCTCACAAACACATAAAAAGGACCCTCAGCGCGCGCGCGCACACACACACACACACACACACACACACACACACACACACACCTAGACATGGTTAGGTTAGACTAGGCTAAAATAATGTTACGTTAGATTTGGTTAAGTTAGACTACGTTAGGTTAAGTTAGATTAAGGTTGACTAGTTTTGATTAGGTTAAGTTAGACTAGATTAGGTTAATGTTACACTAGGCTAGGTTAAGGTGAGGCTACACTAGGTTTGGTTAAACTAGACTAGATTAAGTTTAATTAGAAATCTCTGACACCAGCTGCTCTCTAATGCCCCCCCCCTCCCTCCTCAGTGCTGCGTAAGGCATTCGCTATGTTCGACAGCGGCAAGACTGGCAAGATAGAGAAGGAGAAAATCAGGACCATCCTTAACACTCTCGGGGCTAACTACATCAACGAGGAGCTGGAGGCGTTACTAGTTGATAACGACCTCGACGGTGAGTAAAGAATAGATGGATGGGTGACGTGGGTGAGATGGTTGAGGTGGGTGGGTGGGTGAAGTGAGTGAGGAAGTGGGTGGATGAGTGAATGAGTAAGAGAAATGGGTGAGGAAGTGAGTGAGATGAAAGGCGAGTGAGTCAGTGTGGTAATAGGTGAGTGAGTGAATGAGCAAGTTAGCGGTGGATGACTATGTGACTGGGTGGGTGAATGATTGGATGAGATGACAGGAGGAGTGACTGGATGCACTTGAGATAGCTTGCCTGTCACAGTTAACAGTCACCTGCTCACAACAAGCTGCGGACAATACAGTCAGTTGGTGTCAGGCCAAGTGGCGGCGTGTGTGGCTGACTGTCATCTTGTCAGCAAAGAACTGTAAATATTTGTATATATAGATCATGTGTGTGTGTGTGTGTGTGTGTGTGTGTGTGTGTGTGTGTGTGTGTGTGTGTATTTGTCTCTCTTAAAATGGGAAAATAAGTTAATGTTGCAGTATTTTTCCAGACCATCACTCATATACTTTCTTCCATTTTCTCCATTTACATTAAACTTCTTTACACAATACACACAAAATGATCTTTTATCAGGTACTCTTGTCCTGGTTGGGATATTATGTAGCACCACCAAGGCCGACGACCTCCCCCCCAGCATGTACAGTACCTTACCTTACTAACAAAACCAATGACCCCCACAGACACCTCTCGCCCACTCTCAATCTAAGAAGGCAACCATCAACTCCTCCTGCTTCTTTCTTGGGCGCCTTATACACAGGCTGTAAGGGGGTCCCAATAGACTAGCCCCCGTGCTGCATGGTTAATGGGGGCTAGTCTGAATCTGAATCTCTGGCGAGCGGGAGGAGCTACACTTGGCTTCACCCAGCGACTGAGTTATTGCTATTCTCGTCGCGTCATCAACACTAACCAATCCCCGGCCTTATCATTCCCTACGTCATCAACACTAACCAAACTCCGGCCTTCTTATCCATCACGTCATCAATACCAGATCATTTCCGGCGTTCTCATTCCCCTCGTCATCAACACTCTAACCAATCTTCGGTCACTTCATCCTACTCGTCATCACTCTAACCAACATTAAGGCTTCCCATCCATCACGCCATCAACACTATCCATCACTCAGGCTTCCCATCTCCCACGTCATCAACACACAAGCCATTCCCCGGCTTTTTCATTCCCTCCTCTTTAAAGTCTCTGCTGTAAGACTCCTCACCAATAACGAACCAATCACAACCTACAGGCACTGGGAAGCTTGATTTTGATTCGTTCGTCCGAGTGGTGGGCCACTTTCTGGAAGAGCAGGACGAGGAGGCGATGCAGAAAGAGTTGAAAGAGGCATTCAGACTGTACGATAAAGAAGGTGAGTATTTCCCTGAGTGAGTGGCACTGAGTGGCACTGAATGGCACTGAGTGGCACTGCTATACATGGTGTTATTCTTAATATATAGCCTACTTGACCATAAAAATACATTTCCTGTGTGTGTGTGTGTGTGTGTGTGTGTGTGTGTGTGTGTGTGTGTGTGTGTACACTGTACACACACAGACATATGTAAAAAAAATTCCCCTATGAAATTTTTTTAGTGTAACATAGTCGTTGTGTCAAGTTTTGTTCTCGAAGCTGACTCGAGCTAATCTGAGAACAAAGAGATCAGCGCCACCATTAACTTTATGACACCCAGAGACGCAAGACGCAAGCCGTGTCATGTGTCAGAAAGAAGGCTTGGACAGGTACCGGTGTGTCCTGTCTGAGAGTATTATCAGTTTCTGCAGCAGTTCAAAAGAGTGTGACAATTTAATTAGATGTCGAATAATTTGAATTTTTTCAGGCTTTTATTGTGATGTTTTTATTATTATGTTTGTTTATGTTGTGTCATAATTTTTTTCCATATTTCAAAGTAAGAACGTAATGGATCTCTTATTTAAGCTTGAATTTTGCTCATTAGTGGACCTAAATGATCACACACACACACACACACACACACACACACACACACACACACACACACACACACACACACACACACACACACACACACACACGGACGCACACGCACACACACTTAAAATCTCCTTTAATTCAGAAGGACTGATTAAACGTTCCCATTTCTCGCTGAAGGTCCCATTACCCTACAAATATATTTCCCGCCAAAAATTATTAAATATTTCCCATTAGATGTCAAATGTCGTCAATCACATTTCCGCCAGGAGTCGACAGTGATGCAATGTTTTCTCAGTCAATATGAACAATACAATTCGCGCCAAATTGTCTATAACAACATATTAGTTCATGTAAGAAGTCCGTAAGTGTCATATATTCTCCCGCAACAAGATAATAATAACCAGGTATTTCCGCCAAAAGATATTAACAACCATATATTTCCCGCCAAAAATCAACACCAATCGAGTACAGTGTATTTCCCGCCTAAAAAATATCAACAGCTATCAAACATTTCGCGCCAAAAAGTCAATAACAACAAATGTTTCCCAGGCAAAAGCAATAATTCATCACTTTTGGCGGGAAATCCAGCGTGCAGTCAGACACAAGTTCACTTAATCACATTTAACAGGTTCGCGTTAATTCTCTGATCAAAAATGACAATCAAAATTATAAAAAAAAAATAGAGATAGAGAGGAAAAATTATCAGTTTGAACAGAGAGGAGATGATATTAAAAGTCTGGCGTCATGTATCTGTTAGCGATTTCGAATTTACGCGATGGGAGAGAGGGGAGAGAGAGAGTGAGGAGAGAGAGTGAGTGAGGAGAGAGAGTGGGGAGAGAGTGTGGGGAGAGAGAGAGAGAGAGAGAGAGAGATGGGCTTGGCTTCTCATTAAGGAAGCCGGGAGATGCAAGCTCAGTTTATCAAGATATTATCGAGAGAGAGAGAGAGAGAGAGAGAGAGAGAGAGTCACACAACTGCTGTATTTAATTTATTGCAGGCGTTTGGAGTTTCTACGAAGAACCGTGATTGGTCTGGGACACTATACGACGTGGTTGGTCTGGGACACTAAGGACATGGTTGGTCTGGGACACTAACGATATGGTTGGTCTGGTACACTAAGAACATGGTTGGTCTGAGACACTAACGACATAGTTGGTCTGGAACACTAACGACATAGTTGGTCTGGGACACTAATGACATAGTTGGTCTGGGACACTAATGACATAGTTGGTCTGGGACACTAACGACATAGTTGGTCTGGGACACTTCAGGAACATAGTTGGTCTGGAAGCACTAACGACATGGTTGGTCTGGGACACCCCTAACGACGCAGTTGGTCTGGGACACTAACGACATGGTTGGTCTGGGACACTAAGGACATATAGTTGGTCTGGGACACTAAGAACACTTAGTTGGTCTGGGACACTAACGACATGGTTGGTCTGGTACACTAGGGACATAGTTGGTCTGGGACACTAACGACATGGTTGGTCTGGGACACTAAGGACATAGTTGGTCTGGGACACTAAGGACATAGTTGGTCTGGGACACTAAGGACATAGTTGGTCTGGGACACTAACGACATGATTGGTCTGAGACACTAAGGACATAGTTGGTCTGGGACACTAACGACATGGTTGGTCTGGGACACTAAGGACATAGTTGGTCTGGGACACTAAGGACATAGTTGGTCTGGGACACTAAGAACATAGTTGGTCTGGGACACTAAGGACATAGTTGGTCTGGGACACTAACGACATGGTTGGTCTGGGGAATATTGGCGATAGTTGGTCTGGGACACTAACGACATGGTTGGTCTGGGACACTAAGGACATAGTTGGTCTGGGACACTAAGAACATAGTTGGTCTGGGACACTAAGGACATAGTTGGTCTGGGACACTAACGATATGGTTGGTCTGGTACACTAAGAACATGGTTGGTCTGAGACACTAACGACATAGTTGGTCTGGAACACTAAGAACATAGTTGGTCTGGGACACTAAGGACATAATTGGTATGGGACACTAACGACATGGTTGGCCTTGGACACTAAGAACATAGTTGGTCTGGGACACTAACGACATAGTTGGTCTGGGACACTAATGACATAGTTGGTCTGGGACACTAAGGACATAGTTGGTCTGGGGACACTAACGACATAGTTGGTCTAGAAACACTAAGAACATAGTTGGTCTGGGATACTAAGGACATAATTGGTCTGGGGACACCAACGACATGGTTATCTTGACACTAAGAACATAGTTGGTCTGGGGACACTAACGACATAGTTGGTCTGGGACACTAAGGACATAGTTGGTCTGGGACACTAACGACATGGTTGGTCTGGGACACTAAGGACATAGTTGGTCTGGGACACTAACGACATGGTTGGTCTGGTACACTAAGGACATGATTGGTCTGGGACACTAAGGACATGATTGGTCTGAGACGATAAGAACATAGTTGGTCTGGGACACTAAGGACATGATTGGTCTGTGACACTAAGAACATAGTTGGTCTGTGACACTAAGAACATAGTTGGTCTGGGACACTAAGGACATGATTGGTCTGTGACACTAAGAACATAGTTGGTCTGTGACACTAAGAACATAGTTGGTCTGTGACACTAACGACATGGTTGGTCTGGTACACTAAGGACATGATTGGTCTGGGACACTAAGGACATGATTGGTCTGTGACACTAAGAACATAGTTGGTCTGGGACAATAACGACATAGTTGGTCTGGGATACTCAAAACGCACCTCTGAGAATGCCCAATGATTCGTACGTTAATGTTTCCCTATACTGTACGTGGGTAGGAAAGGTTGGCCTTAGTTATGACTAGGCTTAGGATAATTATGCATTTGCATATGTGCATATGCAAATGCATATTTAAGCCATTTTTTAGCTAAAGTGCATATTCATAATTTTTTGTTTTGTAAGGCATATATTTGGAAAATTCCAAAATATTATAAAACATTCTTCAACCTCAAGGGTCAAAAAATTCGCGAGCATACAAGCAACGCTGGGGCAGAAATTATTGATATTTGAAATATAAATATCCATTTTATTGCACTAATACAAAATTGAAAATACGCGATTTTGTTTTAGCGTCATAATATCCAAAAGGAACATACTTAAGTGACGCTTATATAGGTCAACGTTAGGCTGTGGTTAGCTAGGCCGTGATTGGCTGGTCAGTGGACATGAACTGTACGTGATGGGTTCGTGTTCAGCCAGGCAGGGTATAGATGCACGGGCTCCATTAGTTCCCTCCTGACACTCTTTTGTTCTTCTATTTTCTTAAAAGGAATATTTTTTCAGTATTGTTTATTGAATTACATTATGTCAGTATATTGTTTTTTTGTATTTAATCTTTCTTTAAAATATCCTACTTCGGCGACATCCTGTCTGGTAAAGTAAATTTACCGAGAAAATGTACAGAAAAGGAGTTATTAACTTAGTAGTTTTTATTTATTAACCTATTTTAAAGTGCATATTTTACTGCATATTTGCATGTATATTTAGCCATTTTTAAGTGCATAATTATCCTAAGCCTAGTTATGACAGACAGTCTCTCTGGAGTTTTGACGCCATTTTGACAAGTAATCGTCGGGTGGTGATAAACAGATATTAGTTGGTGACTGTTGACATCTCCAGTCAGTGGAACTAGTTAACGTCTAAGACAATGCGTTGAATATTTTTATCCGTGAGTGAGGGGGGGGGAATATACTGTACTGTATAGCCTTTAAAATAAGGTGTCGAACATCATTACCAATAAATTCGAATTACCTGTTCATTATCAAGTGCTGGAATCATTTGCATACAGTTCATCATGGTCCCTGTTCACCTTGACACACTATGGATTAACTAGCCTGACTACGAGGGATTTACAATGTTAAATGACGGACAATCTACCTGACAGGCCACCGCGTTCAACACTGCGTGAAATCAGGTGTTTACTGTGAATGCTGTAAAAATAAAGCGGTTTTTATTTTATTTTTTTACGAAGAAGGTATTTGTTGCTGTGTGTGTGTGTGTGTGTGTGTGTGTGTGTGTGTGTGTGTGTGTGTCTGTGTGTGTGTGTGTGTGTCTGTGTGTGTGTGTGTGTCTGTGTGTGTGTGTGTCTGTGTGTGTGTGTCTGTGTGTGTGTGTGTGTGTGTGTGTCTGTGTGTGTGTGTGTGTGTGTGTAGTGTGGAATATATTACGCGTTCAATGGTAACGAAATTAATTTATTGCTAATGAACTCTAACGTGATTTTGTATCTGTGACTGTTGCTGTTGTTATTGTAATGTATTTCAACACTTTATCAACTGAGGGTTTGTTGTTATTGTTGTTATAATATATTACAGCATGTTATCAATTAAGGTGTTGTTGTTGTTGTTGTTATAATGTATTACAACACTTCAACAACTGAGG